ATGACAATATTCTCCTTCTAGGAAGTGACACAGTCAGTTTCCTGATTTTCACTTAAAAAACCATTATAAACTACTTACAGTCATTTAGAAAGCCATCTCTGCTTCTTCACTTTTTTCATTTTTGTTTTTAAATACACATACTACCACAATAATTTGAATTTTTTTAATCTCAACTTTCCATGATAATGTGTAATTCTTCAGTTAAATTGAAGATATTTTTGGCAAGAAAGAAAGAAGAAAACAGAGAAGATGATACTTTGAATTTTCTTGTAAAGATTGAGTCTGGAGACTCTCTGCTGTGTTTAGTCTCTTCACAGCAATGATYATGTTCTTTCCCAGGTAAGCACCGTGATGCTAACGCAGAATTGATATGGTAGAAGCTTCCCTCCATACTGAGCAAGRAGAAGAATAACATCTACCTCTATAGTGTAGATAGGCATTTTTTTCTTTCCCTTGCCTGCAAGAAGGAATTCACTACAAAGCAACAGTATTTTATTTTTAATTCTCATTCTCTGGAGAAGATGATTCATTAATTAGCTCAGATTCAGCATAAAAGTTTCATAAAGCTTCAAAAAATACAGGCTATTCTAAAATGTTATTCACTTCTGAAAAAAATTAGAATTATTTAGTCATCATGGGCTGATGTATACATATAACAGAACTTGTTTCTCTCTCTGCTGAGAGATATGCAGTCCTGGAGTTTCCAAAGCAGGAGACCGTTTAAGGAGCATTTTGCTTCTTAGACCAGATGGCAGCAGTGAGGGCACTGACTGCCCCTGCTGCGGGACTCACTGCTCCCTGCCTGCCACAGATATGTGGCACAGCACTAGGACCCTGCCAGCTCTGGCCAAGCATTATGGTGAGCATTTTGAAAATGTTCACCGTAATTCTTAATACATAACTACACACAGCAATTTAAAGTTTACTTCATCATTTCTCATTAAGCAAAGGATTCTGTGCCCATGGCAGGGGGTTGGAACTAGATGGTCCCTTCCAATCCAAACCATTCTACGATTCCTTTTGCTGCTCATTTCTTCAGTATTTTCATTTCCATTCTTTTTGCCCTTATTTCCACATTGTTTCACAAAATCAAGGCAACACCATCACTTACGTGCCAAAAGTATTTATAACTTCTCAGAATTCTAACTATTTTCCACTTTCTTCAGATGTCTCTACTCCAGTTGCCTACAAACCAAAGACYATAAATAACAAAATCTTAAGTTTTAATATGACTTAAAGGTTTAAGATTCTTTATTTATGATGTCTCATTCTTTTTCCATTTAGGGTACAGATTGATATAYATATTAGAAAATCCCTAAAGTATCTTATATCCTATAAAATATCCTTAATCATATGAAACAAAATCAACAAGACTTCGAATTAATACTAAAGTAGAAACAGCCAACTGAAAAAAATTGCAGATCTCTTACTAAAACAAATTTAAAAATCACCTAGCATCTATAAAGACAATATCTATCAGCATGGGATTCTCTGGGGCCTTGCTTTTTTTCTTAAGAGAAGCTGAAGAGAATATATGAAAACATGTACTAACTTTAAATAGATTCACAGGACCAAAACAGTTGTTAATGTTCTTAAATTCATGATATACCCTTCAGAAATTTAAAAACATTAATCTCTTAGCTTTTCCCATCTGGCAGTACTTACATGGCAGTAACATTACATCTTTACAAAGTAAGAACTGTCCTCTATTCAAAGTTTGAGCAACTGCAGAGGGAATTTTAAATAAAAATTAATCTTTATTCTCTCCCATGAGAAAACACCTCTTAAGAGTTTTCAACGCTACTGCTACATAGTGAAAATAGTCATGAGAACAGTTCCTGGCAAGAAAACAAAAACACCAAACCAAAGCACAGAGACAAGATTCTACAAGGCAGAAATCCAGTGAATGCTGTTGCAGTCATTGTACATTAGCTTTAGTTCTCCGTCACCTAATCACACAGCCCTGAAGAATGGAAGAGCTGCTGATGGAAACACCCCAAAAAAGGCTATAAATGGTAAATCCTGATTGTGACTTCAAACTGCTGCAGAGCTGGTTGAGGACGCTGAAATGACATGTGTTAGATTCTTCTCACTCTCAGCCATGATAGTCATTGTATTTAAGCATCAACCACAGCCAATGCAAAAACAAAGAAGTGACTGAAACCTCTGTTCTTGCATAATCAGACTGCTTTTGGAGAAAGAGGGTTCACACAATCATAAGAGATGCCTGGTGATGACAGGTTACTGCAAAATATATAAGATTACCACAATTTGTCTGTAAATTACAAAGATAAGTGAAGCAGTGATGCACAACTCAGCCAAAGATATTCTGTCCGCAAAAGAATTTAACAAACAGAGAATCTCCACAACAAACCCATAGAGAAAACAGATCTTGAGATTGTATCAGCTGTATTCAATGTAGACKGTGAACATAACCTTGAGAATAGAAACCTCAATTTTCATTTATCTAGTTACATTGGAATCCTTTTTGTTTAACAAATGAAAATATGTTGCCAGAAGCCTGAAGTTACACTAGACAGTCTTTAGCTGTACTTCAGGAAGCTAGAACTTTCCACAAGAAGTAAGGAATCATCTTTTACATCAGGTGACTTATTCTTTGTCTACCTAAGAAAGCGAACAGTTTCAGAATCCATTACAACAGCTACAGAAAGAACCAAAAGGTCATATAAAGGAACTCTCTACAGTTTTAGGAGATAGGTATTTTTTTCTTTTAAGAGATAAGCTGACTTGAAATTAACCTTGCTACAATTAGAATACACTCACTACTACTCCTTTTTAATGTAGTTGGGTGCATTTACATCCTGAGTTCCTTTATTTCCTTGCAGAAATAATAAGGAACAATGTATCTACACCAGATCCCACAGCTTTTGAAACAAACATGATAAACTGTTGTACCAAGGCAAAACTGATAAACTGATCAACTGTGAGTAATCTCACTTCAGACACTGTGTAATAAGGATAGTGCATTTCTTCCAGGAAAGGATGATTAGATAGATAGATCCCCATCCCTGGATGTGTACATCACCTTTATTCCTCCTCAGTTCCAGTAAGGGAATTCAACACTATGAAGAGTAATAAACTATAGTATGAAAACTAGGTCCCAAAGAAGTGTAGTCACTCGAAAGTTATTGGAATAAGGCAGAAATGCACTCCAGTGGTGATATTTTAGCATATTTGTGTCTAACACAGAGACAGTGAAAAAAAGCTTGTCGCAATGCAAACTGCCACACCAAGGTAACGAGGTGAAAGAGCTCTCTACATAACAGAGTGTAAGTACAAGAAGTAAAGGGGAGGGGACAGCCAACAGAAGAAAAGTTTTCTGATGCAGGGGAAAGATGGAATAAAGTGAAAGAAATATCAAAGAGGAAGCAGTCTGACCAAGAACCTCAGATCCTACAACAGTGCCCTTGTCTTCTAATAAATATTTTCATATAAGATGACATCAGATTCAGCCAGTGCAGAAAAATGATTCTAAGAAAATGAACTTACTGGATCAGTGCCAAAGAATTCTTTAAACCAAACTTCCTACAAAGCAAAGTATACTGGTACTAAAAGAAAGATACCTTTTTTTTGACACATGCCATAGAACAAGGAAATCACAGTTTTGTCAAATTAAAAGTGGTAAAAAAGAATAAGAATAGTACTGAGGGAAATCTGAACTTTCGGATAAAAATCATCCTGAAATATCACACACTACACTAGAGTCACTTTATTAAGAGTTCTTTGTATCACAAATTCTGGTAATTCCTAGTGGCGTTTTGTGACTGCTCTGAATCCCAGGGCACTTTTATGAAGTCTCACCACGCAGACAATCGTGAGTGCAGCCTTCGCTTTCCACATATTCTGTTTACCATCTCTTAATATCTAGAACACCTTTAGGAAAATTTTCCACAGAAGACACATGGATTACAGGACTCAATTCAATTCTAGTAAGTAATACCCTCTAAAAAGATGTGATGTAAAAGAACAAAGTCTAACAGTAATTTTAAGTAGATAAATATTATTACATTTTGCTATTGAGACCTCTTTTTGTAGGTTAAATTACAAGCTGATGTTATGTACTGCAAACATGCAAATACTCAGAGAAATTTAAGGCCATATTCATTCTTTTTCATTCACTGCTTTCCCCTAAAAATGAGAGATGGAACTTGATACATGATCCAGAGTCGCACACAGAACTTAGCTGACAGGGTGAGACCTTCCTTTAGAATTGGTGTGAATAGGACTTTCTGAAAGTTACCAACTAAATTTTTTTTTTTTTTTTTACTGACAGTGTATCTTTTGCCTACAGCTTTTGATGGATACATTTGAAAATGCCTAAAGAAGCTTTCTTATCAGAGACCTATCACCTACCTATTTTGTCTTAAATAGGCATATACAGAGAACTATTTACATTACAAAGCCATTTACAATCTGCATGTCAGTTAGGGCAAGCAGCTTTGTAGATAATGTAGCCCAGAGGATCTGGATCCAGGTGTATACAAACAGTATACTAAGGCTTTTGTTCCCTAGTCACAGCATTTCCACCAAAAAAACTCTGATCCAAGCAGACATCTCCAAGACTTTAAATTCTAATTGCCTTTTTCCTGGATCTAGTAGGAACGAAATTCCCCTTTGTATCAACTTCTTGTTAATTGCATTTTTTGAGGGTTATCTACAGCCCTCTTTTTTTCAGGTGTGGTGAAATACCTGGTATAATGCACATATTAAGTTTATTTGGAAAGAAATGTGAGTTCTCACATTTGAAATAGAATCTATTACAAATATATTTTAATAATGACTACTACACATTCAACACTACTACACTGTACTTACCATCTTAAGAATACTACATGCAGTAATACGATAAATACTCTTAGCTTATGTTAATTGTCATATTCTTTGCTAATTACACTTTTAAATGCATATCTTCAAATAATAAATAATGAGTTTGCTTTCATCCCTATTTCTGAATTTAAGACACTTCCAAATTAGCAAACCTCTCTGGCGATGTTGCTCAGAGCTTCATCTTCTGCAGAAAACCTGTCTTTCACTGGAGTTCTCTTCCGTCCTGATCCAGGAGTTCCCATTTTTATTCTCTGGATCTATATTTGAAAACACAGATAGGACAAAGCTCAGTTAGCATTCAGATATGGAATTAAAAATTATCAACCAATCTACACTTCAAAATGTCTTAAGTTATCCAACCTGCTGTCTTCTAAAGACGAAGTTTTGCTATAGTAGAAATAAAGACATCTTTACACAAAGAACACATTCTATTGCCAAACAAGATTCACAATTTGGGAACTGAAGGGAGAAACACACTACCATCATATACTCAGAATACATAAAATACCCTCTTACTTTTCTTCCAGAAAACTTTTATGAATTGCAAGCATATAAAAAACACCAACAAAACAAAACATAGCCCATACAGTAACAATCAAAAAAATGTTACACACACTCCCCCATCCCCAAAAACCACAACCATGTTAGTCTTTTCCAAATATCCTAAAGAAATCCTACTTCCAGACATCCAGATCCTCCCAAATGTCAGACTAGAATTTGATGACAGTCCTGCTATTGGACAAAGTAAGTATCCTACACAGGATTTGAGAAAACACCTCAGAATAAAAATTTCTATTTGCAGGAAGAACAGATCTAAAAGGTAACTAGTGGTAGCTATTCTTTTGAAACTGAATTGGTACAAGAACTACCTTTCTTGTTGGATCTAACCCACAAAGACTCAGTAACTGATTATAGTTTATTCAAAAGAGAGGGAAGAAAAAAACCCAAAGTGACTGGGCTATTTTTGTACAAGCAGTTTTTACTTTATTACTTTTATGCAGCAATCACAAAGCCAAAATATATTGGGGTATTTTTTGGCACTCAAAAGACACCAAGTAGCATTTTTCTTATATTTTACCTTCTACACCTTTTCATTGTCCTTTTCTTAATAACTTTATACCACTAGTCCCTTCTTTTCCTTGCAGGCAAGATGACTGCTTCAAATTTTACAGGTATTTTGCTATTCTTCATGTGCTTAGTATTGTCACTGCCAATCCATTTGGTAAGAGTCACTGCTAATCCACTTTTAAGCCTAAAACAAGCAAACAATTTGTTTGTTTTAGTCTTAAAAACAAGCAAGCAAACTTATGTCTTGTACTTGGGCAAATTTAGATAAGTATACACAGCGATCTCTGTGGCAAAGGTTTACACTCAGAGCTACAGGTTGCTGTCCACATTCAGAATGTCTCAAAAAATCTGCATCTTTTTTCAGTAATTCTTATTGGCTGACTTCAAATAKTAAATGCAGATATGGCCCAAACTAGAAGTTACATGAACGCAGAATAACACTCCCCCTAATACAGAAGGCTTTAACAATGTTACACATTAGCCACAAGAAAAATCATTAAATATTTATTGGAATAGATGGTTCATATAAGAACAGAAATCCAGTCTATCTACTAAAAGTCACTAAGCATAAAATGAAATTATTTTAATTGGCACATTAAAGGTCATATTTCTTGTAGAAGTATTTACCACATAAGTCAAAATTGCAGAATAACTGCACATACCATATACTTAAACAGCATTTACTGCCGTCCTTTAAACAACATACCATTTCCAACAAGACAACAAGCTTTGGTTTGTTAACTCAGTGAAATGCTCTTAGCTGGCAGACTGATTTGGGGAATGTGATGGGTTATATGGCTAATTTCAGTACATCTCTGTTCAGTTTAACAAGAAGTACTCATTCATAGAGTAGTGTATTCATAAAAATTAGATGCTGATGCCTTAAAAGAGGAAAACACACTTCATCTCAGTCACTGTGAAGAAGGCAAGAGCAGCATCCCTGCCAGCCATCTGCCATGCTTCTCACTTAGGATGAGCACAGAACTCCTGACTGAGACCAAACACAAGAGGGAGCAGAATGGATTACCCAGAAGGTATACAGAGATGTTGCCTTTGCCTACAAGGAAGAGCTAAGAAAGTCAAAGCTCAGCTGAAGCCAAAACAAATGCTGATAAGGACAAAAAGAAAGCTATTCTAAGGACATGGGAAACACAAGAACTGTAGGGCCACTGTTTAGTGACACAGGTGACAGAGGCTTGCCAAGCCTCACCCTTGGCAGAATGGTCTGGACAATAACAAACRTGAAGATAGGAATCTTTTGTGTGTGTGAATCAAACAGGCAAAATTCTCTGACAGGGTATGGGCCCAAAAGTGATAATGTTGAAGAACAAGAGGATCATCAGTTACATTAAACAGAAACTAGGAAATTAGTCAGAAGTATTTGAAGTAAAGCAGTCCTTTTGAAAATGAAAAAAAAAATCTAATTGAAAATCTATACCAGCAGCAGAGACCTTGGAGATGTAACAGTATCAGTCAAAACCTGGTCTGATGCTGTCAGAAGTCACCCCACTGACTGCATCATAGTATCCGTCCAGGCCAAACAACACAGCATCCCTCCTAGTGGATGCAAGATCCTTCATCCAGCTAGCAGGTGGTCAAGTACAGGGAGGGTCAGTACAAACCTTAACTGCATGAATGTGAGCTTGTTTAGGTACGTCTTCACTCGCACATGCATTAGGACATAACACAGCACAAATCAGAGAACAGGCACATGCAAATCTAGAATGTCCACATCTCCAGCAGAAATCATGTGCAAATAGGGAACCCTGGAGTTGAAGAACAGAACAGTTAAACACCAGCCTAAAGAGGCTGTGAAACATCCATCCCTGAAGATGGTAAAAACTTAACCAGACAAGGCTTTGAAAAACCTATTCTAATTGACCATATTTTGAGCAAAGGATGACCTCCAAAGAATCCTTCCAAAAGAAAATACATGATTCTATAGTTATCACTGCTCTCAACTTTGAAATTAAACTTCAATATAAGCTTTCTTTAAGAAGATGTTCTAATATTTCTTCAAGGGTCTTGTTATAATTTCTTTCATTCCTGAAACTTTTCGTTAGGTTGATGTATGTCAGAATATTTAATTTCATGTTATAAAGTTCAGTACTACAGAAATCTAGACACACAGCTAATATGCTAATTAGTCTAAAATTATAAATATCATTGTATTATTTCTCAGGAAAATATAAGATATCAATACTTAACATGCATGCAGAAATAATTCTGAGATGTATCATTTCAATAACCTTCTGATTACACAAAAATAAATTTTCCTGCATGTGATAAAGAATTTAATACATGCTATAACATTAGTATTTTCACAAAAAATAACTAAAGAAAACACCCAAATACAACCAGACAACGAACAGTTTGCTATTGTCTTTATAGGTAGGTTAATATAAAACGAAAGAACATTATAATCTCTGCTGCATTTACAAGTCAAAATTCCTGAGTCACGTCTATTACATGTCGAATTCTATAGGCATGGTTACACACTGTATTACACAACTGATCAAGTGACATCCTGTTGTATTTCATTCCAAAATACTGAAGTGTCTGAAGTCACCAAACAAACCAGAAGACTGTGATGAAATCCCTCTAAAGTCCCCTCATTTGTCTTCAGGCACATACACATTTTATCTCTTCCACAAGTCTTTGCTGTCTACTCTTCTTCATATTACCTTCTGACTAAAGGTTCTCCTTGTTCCTTTTTTGCTTTCCAGAAAAAAGTCAGATTTGTCTTACATTAACGGAAAAAAATAACATACACTACAAGTTAAGGGCCTATCACTCACCACCTTCAATGGCACCACCTGTTTTAAATGCCTGGGGTGTATGCCAGCATATTTGGCATTACATACATAGGATCCAGATACCTTAGTGTGAACAGGCTATAAATAACAGACCAAAACACCCCTTCTCTCCTTCAAGCAAGACTACAAGATAATTAAAATTCACCTGTGTTGACACCACCTCTTTATAATAAATTCAATAACAGAGAAGAACAGCGCTGACTAGAACTAATGCCTGTTAGAACCAGAATCTCAATGCAAAAGTATTAGTACTGCAAAAGTTGCATTCATATTTGAGGTGCATAATTGTATTGGAAATCACAATCTTGTTTGTTTGCTCTTCAGTGCTTTATCCAAGCAAACTTCAGAGGAGACAAAGCAAATCGACACAGAAAAAATTTAAATTATGCAAGACAGACAAAAGACTCTTCCTCAAAAAAAGGCCAAATATGAGAGTACTCTCTTTGTACTTAATATGTTTCCTCATAGACCTGTGCAACAAAAAGGGCTGCATGTTCACAGGGGCATATAGGAAAAGAGAAACAGATTAGGTTTTAATGCACTGACCGAGTTTTATGGAATAATTTTAAATATAATTCTAAATAATTTAGAATTTCCATTCAGAATCACCTTGTTCAGAATATTATCTGAATCAAGAACTATTGCCAGAAAAGAGCTGCTTCTATGAGTGAAAAAGCCTAACATTAAGGGGAAAATGCAAAGACTGAAAAGAGTATATAATTACAATCTGCCAAAAAATTACAGTGCTTACCACTGTATTGGAGGCTAGGTTATTGCAGCTGATGAATGGTGTTCCTGTTTTAAAAAGCTGCTCACCTCTAATCATGGCCTACTTCAAAAGCTGATAGCACAACGTTTCTGCGCTGAGCCAACAAGCTCATGTCAGCTTTTTCAGGAAAAAAAATTACCCTTTAGAAAACTGCAGTATCCACCCCCTGAATGTAGTATATTTGCACTTTACTTGCCATTTTAAAATCTGAGAAATGCAATTTCTTATGAGTTCATGGTGTTTAGCAATAGAATTACAATTCCTTAGAGGGAGATGAAATCCCTCAGTTTGTTGTTGTTATGCATTTAGAGACCAACAGATAGTTCCCAGTTAAGACAATCAAATAGCCATTATGCAGTTGCAAGATTCTGCAAGTGCCTGATGAATCCATGAAGTGCAATGGTGCCTCGTTAGTGTTGGCGTAAAAGCACTAAGGCATCTTACAGCCCTGTAGAACTACAAGACACCTCCTGACATACAAAGCAATCTTTGGAGACCTTCCTCAGTCTGCAAATTACAAAAATTCCAAAACAACATCTTGAACTGATGTAATTTCAAGAGGTAGCAACTTGTTTTATAAAGTATGAGTTCTCTGCCAGTCAGTTGCCAGCAGCTGCAACTCGAGATACCCTTACTGCACAAAGTACATTACGTACACAATATTATCATCAGTGACATGAAGCATCTCTGAAGTTCTTATAATGGTGACTCACCAGAGGATCTCTCACAGCACAGTGTAAAGCATATACAGATTTCAGAGAAGCAGTGTAATGCACACTGGCTTTTCTAGAATCAGTGCTACTATAAATGCTGAAGATCCAGGAATAAAGTAAGAATTCAAATTGAACTTTAAAACATTAAGGAATGACAGTACTAAAATGAGCACTATAAAAATTATTAAAATGCATAATAAAAAAAACCCTCAAGGATCTTCCAAAAGTGTTTATTCTGAAATGAAGCAACCATCATTTTTATACTGTCACCTTTTTCAAAAGGAGAGTCCTTGCTGTCATTTTGGAAAAGAATGATCCACTGCTCATAAAAAAACAAAATACTGCTACTATATGGAGGCTCCACTTTTTTTAATGAAATGGAGAGCCTCATGGTAAAACACACATTCTGTAACAAGCTGCAACTCTTTAAAATATTTTTCCCTCACCAATTTAATACACTCCTACCTCTTTCCTATTTGTGATACAGCTAAAGTACTATGAAAAGCTACTGGAGCAAGGGGAAGAAATTTTTCTGGGTACCCCTTAGAAGAAACAGCAATTGGAGGGAACTATAAGCTGACATCACTCCTGCTTACTAGTTTACTGCTGTGGTAGCACACTCGGTAGGCTTAGAAACACTTACATCCACCTGCCCTTTCTTTGGTAAATACCCCTTTCACCTCTTCCCTTAAAGCAGATCTAATTCTGCTAGCTTAGCTCAAGGAAATGTGAACTTTATCATCATCTTCACAAGCAGACAGTGTTACTTACATAAACTATTTTGGAGGGCATKTAATGCATAAACACAAACCGTCTATTAGCTACATTTTTTATACGTTACCTAGTTTCCAGATAATAAGATAATAAAATTGAATTACAATTCTAATCACTTTTTGTAATGCTACTAGACTACACTAACTTATTACTATATCACCACACATCTTCACATCAGGATCTTACAAACAACATAGTATCAAATCTATTACTTATTTCTAATCCTCTACTGATGTTATAGACCAGAGCTATTCAATTATATATGATATTGATCTAGGTTTTTTTGATATATGCACATGCCAACTTCTGTGCTATGTGAAAGTCTAGAGCTTAACAAGGTCTACAGATCCCCAGAGTCCAAACAGCACTTTCTCAAAGTCTACATGTTTTAAAGTACTATGCCATATTCTTAGAGAATGAGACTTAAAACAACGCTTCAGAGTCAATTTACAAGAAATACTGGTGTTTAGGTCAACAAGCTATGTCTGACACATTTCAGACAATCATCTTCTATTCATAAGTTCCCTGTTACAGCCACAAATTCAGTTCAGGTAAGACTGACTTCACAATAAAGCTAAACACTTCCAAGCCCAGGTAACAGGAAACAATAGCAAAAGGATATGTACATCCAACTATTTTGTAGCGCTAAAGCACGTTTTATCTTACATCATCACTAAGCAATTACATTAATCAAGAAAGCAGACGTATATTAAGAAGGTAACTGTTTCTAGGCTGCAATACATTTAATTACATCACTTCACAATCAAGACACAACGAACGTTTAAAGAATTCAGAAAAGCACTGGTTTAAAATTACAATTTGTAACAAACCTACCGCTTCACAGCTCCAAAGAGGTATCATCCTGACACTTTAAAGGGAGAAAGCTGATCCTAGACCTTCCTCATTTCGAGCAAAAAATGTCTGTAGGCTTTTTTAAATTAAGCAAGTCACCGAGTAGATCATATAATGTCAACATAGTACTACTTCATCTACAAAATGGTTTTATTATCAGTAAAATACGTAACACTTCCCTTCAACGAGTCGGGCTAGAATTCAAACTGGAAATCACTTAAAACACATGGGGCAGATCACAGTTCGGAGCCGTTTTCGGTCTCCTTCCAAATTCATGAATGCGCTCAACTCTCTTATCATCCCCGACAACCTCTGTACAATTATAGCAACAGGGTATTTTAAGAATAAAACATCGTGCTGCAAAATAAATAAAAAACCTCAAACGACTAAGCATCAGCAAGCCTGACTCCCAACGCAGCTCGCCGCAGAGGAGGCACGCCCTGCTGTTCCGGGAACAGCGAAGCCGTCGTAACGTGCTTCGAGGAAGTGCGAGAGAGAAAGGCACCGAAATACACACAGCTATTTCAGCACATCTTCCTTTTTCCCTCATTCCACCGTTTCCACTCAGCCCCCGAGGGGCGCCCAGCAGCTTCCCGCGGGTCAGGAGGAGTGATCGCGCCCGGCGAGCGCAGCAGCCCGCCGGAAGGATTCGGGCCAGGCCGGGCCCGGCTTCCCCGTGCCCGCCCGCACCAGGTCTGACCCCGTCCACACGGGAGGGGCGGCACATCGCCGCCCCAAACTTCCCTTTCTGTTCACCGACCTGACCAGGGAGTTCCGGCTCAGCCGCTCCTCCAAACCTGAAGAACAGGGTTCCCGCCCGCTTCCCGGCCCGGGGTTTGTGTCTGTGACATCCTTCCTCCCCCCGGCCCTCGCCCTTTCCCTGCCTGGGCCCCCGGGAGCCTTACCTGCGGGCCAGCCTGCCGCAGAACCGGGACGTCTCAGTAAGGAGGGAGGAACTGTCTCACTCTTCCCTCCACCGCTTCAGGGGTGTGAGGGGCTCGTGGATCCCGGAATCCAGGCGCCTTCCTTCCCTCACTTCCTATGCCCAGAGATAGGGGAATAGTGGCAGAAGCCGCCCCAAGGCGACCACAATGCCCGCCAGACATGGACTGGCCACGGGCCGCGGCAAAGGAACTGCTACCTCACTTAACCCTCTCCACCGTTCCCTCCCCCGTTCCCTGTGAGGAGCTGGGTGAACCGGAGCTGTAGGCACATATAAGCCGCTCGCTCCAGGCCGCCCTGCTCTTCCCCGCCCCGCGCTCTTGCCTCCTCCCCTTCAGCGCAGGGCGCTTACAGCCACATCGAGAACCCGAGTAAAAGACTGCGGTAAATTTCAAACCGCCTGCAGGGCCCTGCGGAAGAAGAAGGAGCCTGCGCTGAGGAAAGGGAGAGAGAGAGAGCGACCGGCAGCCGGAGCTCAGGAAGCACCAACCCACGCTGGCATCAACACCCAGCCCACTGCCCCAGCCCGCGCACAGGCCGGCGGCAAAGCGCGCAGGCGCCGCAAGGGAGAGGGCCAGAGGGTGGTGCGCCCGCGTGCGCAGAGCGGGCGCGGCAGCGGGGCCGTGGTGAGGAGTGGTGGGGAGTGGTGGGGAGTGGAGGGGAGGGGAGTGGAGTGGAGTGGAGTGGAGTGGAGTGGAGTGGTGGGCGGTAATGCGGTCCGCCCAGGCCGGCTCCTCTCTGCTCCCCTCCTGGACCCGTCTCCGCGCTGGCTCAGCGGCTGTCGGAGCTCCGAGTGAGGGTGGATGATTGCGTGCTATGGCGGCCTTTCAGCTCATGAAAGGCGAGGCGGCGGTACGAAGGAGCAGCGCCCTCCTCTTCTCCCCTCTTCTCCTTTCCTCGGGAGGCGCCGGGGCGGGGGGCGCGGCGCGGTTTGGTTTTGTGCTCCATAGTGTGTCGTGATGCAGTGCACGCTCTCCGCCTCGCCCCGTCTTATCATCGGGCAGGTCGGCTGACACTGTGTTGTGGTGGGGRGGAGTAGGTCTGACACGATCGGCTTTATGCTTCATTCCCGGGTTTAGCTAGGACTTGTTTTTATTGAGCAGCCGTCTCCAGTGAACGGCCGTGCGAGTCCTCTGGGAGGCCGCGGCAGCCGCTGAAGAAACCGCAGCACGACCAGCCAGCATCAGCCGCGTTAGTGTGCCCAGCTCCCACCGCTTCCACATAGCACGAGAGAGTTTCTGAAGATTTACGTGGTTGAGTGCTAGACAGGGTTTATGGGTACAAATCGTATGCAGGCATTTGCACCGTATCTTATACTGGCTTAAACACGCCCAGATTTCTGTAATATCAAAATTCAAATACAGGGAACATAATCCCTTAGGTTAAAAAACAGGATAAAAAAGATATTATTATACCGTTTCGTATATTGCAAATTATACCCAAACAGTCATGAAACTTCATGAGATTCTGCTGTGAGATAGACTTGGGATCAGATCTATAGTAATTTGCTTTCCAACAGCTCTGTCATTAAGTGTGGGATGTCTCTAAGAGTGTAGAGATGATTAGAGGAGATGGCATTTTGTGTGTTAGAAATCCCATGTAAATGGAAAAGCACTGTTAAAATGACAAGCATCGTGGTGAGACTCAAAAACGTGCACCAGAGTCCTAGACAGAGATCAAATGTCTTACTAAAATAAGCTCACGTGGATGTGCATAAAGTAAAAAAAAAAAAAAAAGGATATGCAAGGGAATTAAATCTATTAAAGTAGATATATGTAGCATGTTTCTTGTGTTTGATGTGTATTTTATAATTTTCCGTATGAGAAAACCTACACTCTCCCAGTCTCTTTCGTCAGCTGACCATACAGCATAGACTCTTCATGCTTATTTTCAACATCACATTAAATTCTGTAGTTAAGAGAAGGATGACCTCACTAGAGGGACATGAAGTAGCAAGTTTCTCATGGACCATATGTAGAAAAGMTAAAGGTAGTGGTTTAAAACCTTCATTTTTATTTGACATTTTTGCAGAAGGACTCACCTGTTTTTCTGGGCTTTGTGGAGAATCTTCATTAAAACATCTTGGGTTGTTTTGGTTTGCCCTAGCTGGTGGGAGGAGTATTTTATTCCTTTTTGAGTAGACAGTTTGTGTGGAAATTTTTGAAATGTCCCACGTCTGTATGGGATGATTCTCTATTAATGTATTGCTGTTAAAGAGGATTTTTTTTTCCAATCATTTGTTCATTTTTCTAAAATGAAGTGTTGATATTTGCATACTGCTAGTCTTTTGATATAGACTGCACATTTTTCTCTAATGATACAGCAAAACGCATGTTTCCTTGGGAGCAGGCATGCATTTTTGTCTTCTGAAAGAGTAATTGTTTATTTGACTGAAAAGCAGTGTACTGTGCAGTTAAAACAGGCAGTGGTACAGGATGGCACAGTAGCAATTCTGAGTTCAGCATTGTTAATGAACAGCTAAACAGTCAGGTTATATATTGTTTCATTATAAAGCTTCAATTAGAAGCAAAAAAATGAAAGCTACGTTTGAACTTTCGCTATGAAATTACTGCTGGTACAAAATGAACAGTTATTTATGAATATGCCTTGGTTAAATTTATTACTGAAGCTACTATAAAACTTGTTCTGTTAATAATGAGTTTCTGCTAAAAATAAGTCAAAGAATGAGGTGTCACTGGATCTGCCTTTGAATATTCTTTTCTCTTTAATGTTACCTTTTTATACAGTAGGTTAGTATAGATCCCTTATCATATGTAATTGAACTTGCTGATTTACCCTCGCTTTTCCCTCAAAATCTCTCTCTAAAACTGTTTTGCTCAATTAAGTCATTCCATGGATGAAGTTTTAGTTCTTTTCAAGAGTGATGGTAACCTAAGAAAGTATATGTGGGATGAATCTGTAAATCAGTTAAATTGAATACTTTGAACTGTGTCAACTTCCTACAATAATATGGGTACAGTTTTAAAGAGATTTTCTCACTGTAACAACTTATATGAGAGAAAAAATATGTTTACCTCTGCTGTATTTGCTATTTGTGCAGTTCTGAATATCTTTGTTTTTTTTCTCCCACACTTTAGCATTTCTAATCTTCCCATGAATCTTTTGTTTCATGATTATTGCACTTTCTAATTAAGGGTATAGTAGTAATGACATGCACGTAGGATTATAGTGTAACAATTCCTGATGTCATTCCTGTATTTTCCCTTTTGTGTGCTCCCTATTCTCTCTCTCTCTCTCTCCCTCTCACTCCTGCCACCTTTCTTTGTGGAAACAATAATTTCCAGGTATTATTTTAACTGGTAGACTGATTTACTGATGAAGACTCATTGGTTTAAGAGCATTTAAAGAATTCAGACCACCTCATCAAATGATTTCTGTCTTTTCCATTTTATGTCCTTCCTTTCCAGTAGTGTCCATCTCCTCAGTTCAGATACCATCACTCAGCAATTCATTCGACGCACAATTGAACATACTTCCCCCTGCAGCTGTAGTAGATCATCTTTTAGATATATACAGTATTGTTAGTAATTGTTCTCCCCCCCCAAACAAAAAGGGTGTTAAAATACTCCCTTGTGACAGTAAAATATCAACTTTTTCTGTCTGGACTGCTAAATAAGTGTAAACCATTCTTGTAATGGAGGGAGCAAGTCTTGCTTTTTTATTTCTTTTGCTTTTCAAAAAAATTATTGGATGTACGTACAGGAGCTTCTGCCAGACCCTTTCAGTTTTTTCCTCCCCCACCTTTTGTTAAGAGTTTAATTATGCTAAAGATATATTTCTGTTATCAGATACACAGCCACAAATATATTAAATAAACATTTTCAATCTCAGCATTTATGTGTTTTTTGAAATTTCAAGAGAAAAAGAAACAAAAAGTATGCCTTTTTTGGATGACCTTTTTGTATTGTGATTTTCTCTCCACCAATTTCTTAACTCAGAAATTATTAGAATATCTACAAAATCTAATAAATCTTTTGTAGAATTCTTTGGAGTGCTGAGGGACTATTATCAGGCGTTTGTTGTAAGGTTTTTGCATACATATAATATTCACCAAGTAGTGGAAAAAAACCCCAATATTTCAAAATTCCTGGCTGTTTTTTGTGGTCATGTGCACGTTTCACAGCTGTTCTTATAAACTACAAAGTTTCTGGTAGTCCTAGGTGCTGCAGAATGAGTGAGGCTTAGTTTTTCCCTTTACCTCATTTACTTTAGTGCTGGGAAAATCTTTAGAGCACAGTAGGAACTACACACACATACCTATGCATTTTGATGGGGATTGGTGCTCACTAGCAGTAGAACTGCATGAGTTTCCATTTGGTTCCAATCCATTGCATCCTCACCAGGAAAAGGGTTCGGTTCTCTGTTGAATAGCTGTGGATAGGGCTAACTAAAAAATTTGTATCCCAGTGTTTTCCCAAAAAATCTAGACACCCATATAAATGTGATCTACTTTAGAAAACTTCTGTTTTAACACAGATTAGTTAATTGACCAAACAATTGAAAACAGAATGCTCTCGATATTCAATATTTTTATTT